TGAAAGCAATTTAAAGCTGTTTAATGATAAAAGCCACGGCCGTGAACCGTGTTCATGGGTGCGTGTTCCTCAGTGCTCCACTGACCTCCACCCAAAAACAGCTCATATGCACTTGGAGGCTTTCCATGGTACCATTTGAAAGGTGAAAATTATAGAATATTTTATTGGTTGATTGAAAAAAGGAATTAAAACTGATGCTACCTCTACTTTTAATGATGCAAACTCTTCGGAATCCCTGGTTAGAAATGTGCATCATACCCACAGCCCTTTTGTTTTTCTCAGTGATGTAGCTGAGGCCCAGAGAGAGGATGGAAGTTGCCCAAGGTCACATAGCAAGTCTGCAACTGAGTCAGGACAAGAACGATGGCTTATTCCTTCCTGGGCTTGGCTGGCCTGAGCCTGTAACTCCACCCCTCCTCATCTCACACCTACGCCCCACCCAGAGCCTGTGTGCTGAAATACGAATGCAGAGAAATTAATTGGGTTTTTCTGAGTGGCTTAGTGGATTTTCTGTGTGAATCAGTCTCTTTATACGGCAACACCTTGTTTGTTTGTTCATTCAATTGACAGCTAAATCATCAGCTGCTTTCTAGATGACATACAAGGCCCGCCCATCTGGCCCCAGCCTTCCTGTTCAGCTTCATTTCTGGAGTCTGCCCTCCTGCCCAGTTCACACCTGCTACACTCTGCTTACACTGGGTTTCCTTGGGAAGCCTGCCCTGCCTCCCCCAAGTCTGGCCAAAGTGCCCCTTCTCCCTGTACCCAATCACATCCTGTATCACACCGCACTGTAATTGTCTGTCTACTTGTCTGTCTTCCCCAGAAGCCCAAGCACCATGTAGGCAAGAACCCCCTTGTTCCCCACTGCACTCCCAGGACTTGAGTAGGGCCTGACCCATAACAGGTGCCCCATGAATCGATGACTGGATCTGCCATTTCTGGAACACTGCCTGTGTTCTCACAGCACAGGGCCTCTGCAGAGAGTGTTTCTTCTACCACCCCATCCAATTCTACCCTCAAATTGTCAAAACCCAGGTTAAATATCCACAACGATCCACAGTTCTGTGATGCCTTCTTTTTAAAACTCAACGTACACCGTACACCCATAACACACAAAATTAATCCCTCCTCCTCTTGTTCCCATCCTCCTTGCTACCCCATACCACTTAGGACACTATTGTCCCTGTGGGAAGTGACTTGTATCTTTTATGCTGGCCCTCTGGCACCTACGTGGCGCCAGATACTGGTTTAGCAGCATAAAATTCAACAGTGAGCCTAGCAAACAAAGATCCCTGTCCTCGTGTAGCCCACATTGCAGTTGGAGGGCAAGGGAAGAGACCATAAATAAAATAAGTAAAGTGTAGTGCATGTTAGAAAATGGTAAGTGTTAAAGACCAGCACAGAGCAGGGTAAGGGGATAGGGAGAGTGAGGGGAGTTGGGAGGAAGCCTTGACAGCATCCAGTACGGGACAACGGAGCTCCAAGCTTGCATTGGCTGGGCAAAGGTCTGGAGGCCAGAGGGGAGAAGGCTGCCTGAGATCAAATTACAGCAAAGAGGATGGTGTGGTTGGAGAGGTGGTGAGCAAAGGGGATGGTGTAGAAGGGGAAGTCAGAGAGGTAAAGCAAGCCTACAGATTACATCGGCCTTGTGGGTCATAATAAGGACTTTGGCTTCTGCTCTGAGATAGGGGCTGCTGGTGAGTTTCAAGCACAGAAGTGACATGATCTCCTTTTAACAGGATCATTCTGGCTGCTGTATTGAGAAAAAGACTAAAGGGGGACAAGGACAGAAAAAAGAGACAGTGAGGAGGCTACTGCAACAATCCAGGTGAGAGGCGATGGCTCTCGGACCAAGGTGGTAGTGGGGAGGTGGAGAGTGAAAGATCTGAAAGTGAAGAGGATGATTCTACATTGACCTGAGCAACGGAAAGAATGGAGCCGCTGGGAACTAAGATGGGGAAGACCACGGGAGCAGCAGGATTGATAGAAAAGATCAGGATAAGTTTGCCTATTAGACAGCTAAGGGAACTGTTGAATACATAGCCAGCCAAGTCTGGGGTTCAGGAAAGATGGTCCAGGCTGAAGGTATAAATTTGGGCATCATCAAAATAAAGATGCTCTTTAAAGCCTTCAGGACCAGATGAGATCACTAAGAGAAGCAAGTGTGTTGAGGAAGAGGAAGTAATTCAATCAGTCAGATGCTGCTGATGGGTCAAGCAAAGATGGGGCCTGGCAACGAATGAATAAACGCTAGGCTTTGTTATATCTACAAAGTACAGGTGATTGTTAAGGGTTCACTGGCAACACTGGATGCAGAAACAAAACGGCCCTAAGTCACAGGAACACCCAGAGACACAGGGAATGGAAGAACTATGGCATCTTGTTGGTGTTGGAAGGGACCTTGAATAGGTCATTTAATCTGCACTCCTCTCCCTACCCTAGCGTGACAATTGAATCTCTGGCTCTAGAACAAGAAATATTTGTGGGATACTGAGGCAGTCTGGCTAGGTCAGATAGAGAAGGCACAGTTGAAGAATGAAACAGTAATTCAGTAAATGCTGGATCCGCCATTTCTGGAACACTTCCTGTGTCCTTACAGCACAGGGCCTCCGCAGAGAGTGCTTCTTCTACCACCCCTATCCAGTTCTACCCTTCTTAAATTGTCAAAACCCAGGTTAAACATCCACAACGATCAACAGTTCTGTGAAGCAGAGGCAGAGTGAGGGAGTGGAGGTGACCTTATAAAGTTGGAAAACCAAGGTTCAGGTCCCGCATCTGCTGCTCCCTAGCCTCCTGTTCTTAGGCCAATCACTTCATCTCCTCCAGCCTCAGTTTCCCCATGTGTAAAATGGGAGCAATGAAATCTTCCTGGTCCCTCCCGGGACTGCAGTGAGGTCTGAATATAGTAGTGCGTGGGGTAGAATAAATGCCGTGCGTGGATTGCTTACTGCGAGAGCAAGGCAAGGAGGCCAAGAGAAGCCCTCAGCCTGGAATGGAAATGGGACGAGGAGGGAACTCTCACGTCCTCAGCGGGTCGGCTGGTGCAGCGCGTGGAGAAGCTAACCAGGATTCAGCCCAGGACCCGGGCTGGAATGGACTGGGCTCTGGTGGCAAGAGGTGCCGCCCAGATAGAGACCGAGGCCCTGACTCTGCCCCCACTGAGCCCGGAGCAGAGATGGAGCAGACCCTGAGGCAGAGACAAGGAAAAGAAATGGAGACACCGAGGCAGAGAGATCAGGAGACTTCCAGACAGGGGACTCAGAGCCAAACAGACCCAGAAACAAGCGGCCCCAAAAGGCCCCGAGGCGACCCGGAGAGCGCGAGGCACCGGGCACAGACCCGGCAGAGCAGAGCACCCGGGGCGTGGGGTCGCGGCGCGCGGGTGCGGGCGTCAGTCCCGGCGGGGCCCAGGCGGCGGCACTCGCCGGGCGCCCCCGCCCGGGCTGCTCGCCCAAGATGGCGTTGGAGGGGCGGGCGAGGCGGCGGCCCCGGCCCCCGCGCCGGCCCCAGCTCCAGCCCG